AGTCGTCATTTTCATGCACTTTGAATTTGCGTTGTATCGTATTTTGAAGGCATTAAACATTGCCATAGCGATCGGAGTGTTGCGGCCAGATTAGACGCTCCTTGTGTTTATTATTATATTTCGAAAACACCACAGTTTTCGTGCAGCTCATACCATATTAATTTCTTATATTATTTCCACCACACCTGAAATGCCGGTCCCTGAAAATATTGTCTGACATAAACCGGTCCGTGGGGCAAAAAAGGTTGGGGGCCCCTGCCCTACAGAATTTATTTTGTGATTTCCTCGCTTGACTTTCTTCGTGGTTTCATTGAAGTAATATTTAATTTACATTTTTTGGAGGCGGCCAGGAACGCCTCTTGAGTGGAATGGAAGAAGGCATGGAGACGGACAAAGACGTACAGTACCTGAATTTGTTGAGACTGTGAAAACCATTAATAAAGTCTGTGTTTAAAAAATAAATAAAACCACAGCTCTCCTTTTTTCAACAAATACAGATGAGTCTTTGTCCGTCTCCGTGCCTTCTCTTATTCCGTTCAACTCCAGAGGCATTCATGACCGCCTCCGAAAAACACATTGGCATTTCCTTGATCATAGCGCCACGACAACTACGATCAGGTATCAGTAGTAGTTATTTATTCCTTTGTTGTGTATTCACAAATGATGAAATCACAGTATAAATTCTGTAGAGGTGGCTATAGAATTTATTTTGTGATATCATCGCTTGCTTTTCAGTTTTGATGTATTACTTTCAATTTTCATAGTTTCATTGACGTAATTATTAGTTTATGTTTTTCGGAGGCGGTCTTGAACGCCTCTCGGGGTCGAACGGAAGAAGGCACGTACACAGACAAAGATGTACCTGTATTTGTTGAGACTGTTTAAAAAATGAACACCACAGCTCTCCTTTTTTCGGAGCTGCAACACAAACTTATTTAATAAAGCAGCGACACAGTTCACTGAACCAACAGCAAGTTATAACATTGGAACCATGTCTCCAGGAAGGAGCCATGTTGGAGTCGATGTATTACTGTAATGACTACAGAAAAGACGCACCGGATTTTAAGGCGCTCGGTGAACTTTTTAGAAAATTGAAGACTTTTTGGTGTGCCCTATAGTGCGGAAAATACGGTAATATGTGGAAGTGATAAACATTTATGTGGTTTCACAAAATTCAGTTATAACGGCCCTCCAAGGGAAACCGTAACGACAATGTGGCCTGCGATAAAAATGAGTTTGACACCCCTCATCTAGGACAAGGTTGCAAAAGTATGATCCCTAGAAATGTGAAAAAATGGGGCCAAAATTGGACATTCAACAGAAAATTACAACCATAAATGTGTATATGTTATTCAATAGTCATCCATCAAGTATTAGACTCAAACAAGGATTGCCGATTTGTGTTGTCATAGCAAAATGAAGTGATACCATCTAATTCCGCCTCCTTAGCCAATCACAGCCGGTCATCAGAGTCCCTGCAGAGATCCTATTGAAAACAAGAGCATTCTCTATCACACATATATCATCAATGGGTCTTGAAAAAACTCCTGTGAACAAACACACGAGTCCAGCAGGGAATGTTTCTGTCAGTCGTCAGCAAACTGGGCAACCGTCGGTTGCTGAGAGGTCAGTCGGTACTTGACCCGGTTAGTGACGATTACACTGATGAACGAAAACCCAATTCCCGTCAGTGCTTAGTCCTGTCCTGTCATTCATCAATTGTCGTCAAAAAGAGCACGGATCAGTGATGGACTGACAGACCTTCTGTCAGAACTGATGGAATGCCCACCTCTGGTTGTAACCCTGTTTTTTTCTTGAAAGCTGTCCAAATCCCTCTTTTTAACTTTTGTTGCTAATCTGATTTAAATCATGCAGCCAAGGAAACCGTGGCTGCTGGGTGCCCTGTTCGGCTGCGGCGTGTGCTTGTGTGTACATGGCAAATGATTGACAACACCTCTCAGTCATGCCTTCTGTCTGAACAGTCTCGGATGGACAATTATTGTTGTTTTTAAATTATAATTACAATATAATTTAGAGGCATAAAATGAGGGATGATATTTCCCAAGATCATTTTTAAATATTCAAGAAGCAGATTTTTAACATGACAAAAAGTGTTCTGTGTTTTGTTAACTGCAGACTGCTCGTTTTCTGTCAACTTTTAGAAACACCTTTGTACTGCAAACAACCTTTAAAAAGTGTCTCATCAATCATGGATTTTTGACAGGAAAATAGACTAGAAAAACCCTGTCTTCCAAAGAACCTGAGTAACACCTGTTAAATAGCTTTTCTAGCATTCACCTCTCTGAAATAGTTGGGCTCCTGCACCACCTTCCGATTGTGCAGGCATTTCCAGCTCTGGTCCTCGTGGGCCGCTGTCCTGCCTGTTTTCCATCTCTCCCTGCTGCAACAAAACCGATTCAAAGGTTCAGCTCATCAGCGAGCTCTGAAGAAGCATAAGAACTATCCTCATCATTTGACTCATGTGTGTTGCAGCAGAGTCAGAATAAAACAGGCAGGACAGCGGCCCCCGAGGAATGAATTTGGACACTCCTGGTTTGAGCTACTCCACGAACACAGCCCCTTAGCCATGGCTGTACTTCATAAACAAGGTTAACTGAACGGTCCTCTCATCAGATGCTGTTATTCATTTTCCCCACATTAATTTTTCATATGACAATCTCATTAAATACCTTTGTATGTGTATCTGTGTGTGTGGGTCTCTGCGTGTGTATGCGTGGGTGTGCATGCCAACACTTCTGCAATGTGTGTCCAGGGGGCCACGTTATTTTTTTAGTCTTCTATTCATTTTACAGTCAAAAGAATATCCAAGGAATGTGCAAGAAAACCGGGCAAGAAAATATGTAGGAAAGGAGGTATGTATTTTTACATGCACAACAATATAAAAATAAAGAACTAGAGAGAGGAAGAAAGAAAGAAAAAGAAATAAAGGAAAGGACATAAAAAATTGAAATATGTGGTGCAGCAGAAAGCTATTCAGGTGAAGCTTATTTTTAGCGTCACTGCGTTCACAATGGTAGAATCTATGCAGGGCTGAGCCTCACTGCACAACCCACCCAACCCCCGCGCATGTATAGAGTAAATTAAAAAAATATATATATATTAATGACCACATTAAATCGTTTTTCATTTTAGCTCCCTGGCCCGTGCTTTAAATTGATATTCATTTTCATCCAATAATGTCAATGATTTCATCAGTAAAATTAAGGGGACTGATTTTTCACTTAAAAATGCTCTTTCTGTATTTTTTTGATTTGGAAAATTAAACTAGGTTACACTTTCAATTAAATCCATTTGGGAGTGAAAAACTGACTAATCTTGGAACATCCATTTTACTTCTGCCATATGGATGCGCTCTCCACCCACACCTTAGTGTGATGTCAGTGGAGGAACTGGACACAATTTTTACATTTTAAATCATTGATCATACATCGCTTATAATGTCCGAAAACTGCGCTCCTTCGTCACCAAAATTTCTGTGGATATTTCTATTCATCAGAACTTAAGCCTCTGAAAATATCAGCGATAACCCTCTACATGCACTCACTTAGAAGAGAATTAGAAAAAAAGGAGTTAACCTTCAGTTTCTTTCATTCCAGATCTGTTTGTGTTTTGGGAATAATAATTATGAGATTCATAAAAACCCTGTCAAGTCACCCAAGAATGCTTACACACTGAAAAAAGAAAAAAAGGCTTGCATTGTGCCTCGGGGGCATCCACTTGATAATGCTTGTTGGTTGGCTGAGAAAAACGTTGCATTCCAGCTGCCCCTTGGCTAGCCACAGCCATCAGAGTGTCATGTGTGCACACCCCACACTGATTCTTGGCCGTCCACAGTCATGAGGACGTCGCCGGGCATAAAGCGACAGCCCAGACGTTGTGACATGGGTTGTACAGCTTTGAATACAGGGATGCAGGAGCCATTGTCTGTGCCAAGGGTTGGCTCAGCACCCCGGGCTCCACATCTTCCAGACCTGGTCTGCCGACCAGATCGGTCTAGCTGTGCACTCTGTTCGCTGACAGGATGAGCTGCCATGGGTCTTTAAAAAAACCTTGAGCGTTGCTAACTGTTTCAAAATTAGGATCAATTATCAACAGGATTCATCTGCACATACCTACTTAAGTGTTCTACAGTGAAAATATAAAATATTTTGGATTTTGTGAAAATGATAATCCCTCTCCACAATGGCGCTAACATACTAAAAGCCAAAATATTGTGGTGATCCCTTCGATATTTTCAGATGTTGAAGTGGGCATAAGTAGGGATGCACATCTGAATTTTTGTCAGAATTGGTCATGACTATTGGACACTCGGAGGTTTGAAGCGTTTTTACACCTTCAGTGGCGACAGTCCTCTGCTGGAGCCGAGCCATCCTTGATTAAAGTAACCCATTTTATTCCAAACTCAAAACCAAAACACTTCCTCTTCGAGGTCTGAATTACAGGAATGACCACTGCAAATTACACCCGTCTCCTTGGTCCATCTCAGTTTTTTTTTGTTTGTTTGTTTGTTTTGCTTGATATTCCCAGTAACATGAGAAAATGACACCCGGCAATTAAGTCAAGAATGGCAAACAGTTTGCTTTGTCCCGATGTTGATGTCATCCAAATTGGGTTTTGCTAAAACTGCTGAATACAGTCAGAAAACAAGCGAAAAATCATCACTGGATTATTTTGAAGGGTAATTTTTACTTTTTACACAAATTTTAAATACAAAACTATTACATAGGTGCCAATGTTCAGCCAATTAAAGAGTTCCTTTGTCATGTTTGAGAGCCGAATAATGTTTTGAGAACGTACCAAATAATGTTTTGGATCCACAAAATGCAAACAACAAAAATGTTTATTCGCAAAAACACAAAACCCACAAGTCCAAACAGAAATTACCGTATTTTCACGACCATTCGGCGCACCGTATTGTTGGGCGCAGTCTCACTAACGGGTGCTATTTCGGTATTTTACACATACACAAAACGCACTGTATTATTGGGCGTAGCCAGGCATGGTAAAACATACACCAGCTTAAACACACGGCATGCATGCACGCACGCTAAAAACACGTCAGCTTGAAGCATTCGGGAGCATGCATTCACGCTAAAACATACCAGGTATGTTAGCTTAAAGCATACGGTAGCAGCTAAGACATATGGACACACGCTAAAAACATGTTTTTAAAAAGGCAACGGAAGCAAAACTGAGTTCGGTTGTACTTTATTTATCCATTTTACTATGTACTCACGCGACTGGTACCTGCTAGGGGTGTGCCTTTAGCGTCCTCTTACACGCCTACCCTTCACTCATTGGCGACTGGTACCTGCTAGGGGCGTGCCTTTAGCGTCCTCTTACACGCCCACCCTTCACTCATTCGCGACTGGTACCTGCTCGGGACGTGCCTTTAGCGTCCTCTTACACGCCCACCCTTCCACTCATTGGCCAACTTCCGCATGCCTGTTGTCACTCACGTCCACCTTTTCTCTATATAAACAGCGTGTTGGCCAGAGGTGCTCTTAGTCAGGCTTTGGAACTCGGCGCATACATAACACGCACCGCATTATAAGGCGTCCTGTCCATTTTGGAGAAAATTTAAGACTTTTAATGGTGCCTTATAGTTGTGAAAATACGGTACTAGGCACAAGGATTTATGAAAAACAAAGCATAAACAAAAGGTGCTTGCAAAAGGCAAAGTAATAGTAACACAGAGAATACAAATGAAATGACAAGAGTCCAATTCACACAACAAACAAAAGCAAGATTAAATGACTAAAATATGACTATACTTACAAAACGAGGACCTAAGGGAGCAAGAACGACTTTGACAAAATCGATAGGTCAAGAAAACAACACTTGAGCATGAACAGTAAAGCAGGTGAACAATCCGACAAGAGACTAGTCATCTTGCCAGCCCTTAAATACATGGCAAGGCTTGACTGGAAACAAGGAACAGGTGCCCCTGCAGGAGGGAGACACCCTTCACTCCATCTGGAGCTGAAACAAAACAAACACACACAAAACATTCCAGTACCCCCCCACCCCAAACCCTTCAACGGATGCACCCTGGCGGACTACCTGGATTGGATAGATGCACTGCATGGAAATTATGGATGAGTGACAGATCCAGAATGAATGGGGACATTAATGGGGACCGACTTGTGTCAGATGAGACGAGAGTGTTGTGGGCGTATTCAACCCATGGTAGCTGACTGGCCCATGTAGAAGGCTGATGAAGGCAGACACGCCTGAGAGCCGTCTCCAGGTCTTGGTTGAGCCTTTCACTTTGTCAATGACTGCGGGTGATATCCTGATGAGAGGCTGAGGCACCAGATTGGAACAAATGTCCCTTGGGGATACCATGGAGTCGGAACACATGACGTATGAGCAGCTGAGCGGTCTCTAATGAGGGCCAAGAAATGAGCCCTTTTAGAAAATCGGTCCACAATGGTAAGTGGACCCGATTTCCCTTGAGACACAGGAATTTCCTTAACAAAATAAAAAGGAATATGCAACCAGGGGCGAGATGGTACAGGCAACAGCCGAAGCAGCATGAAGTTTTGCCACATGCACAGGCTGAGCAAGCCCCAACAAAGTCCATAACATCCTTCTTGAAATTGGGCCACCAGAAGCATTGATTTATAATGGCTATAGTACGGTTTACACCAGGATGGCATGCCACTTTAGAAGCACGCCCCCATTGTAACGCCTCAGGTGGGAATACCGCTGGAACAAATAAGCAGCCCTCGGGACATGCCTCAGGAACAGATGTTTCTTTCAGGGCCTCTGTGATCCTCTGCACGATCTCCCAGCGAAGCACCCTCACCATGCAATGGCCTGGCAGAATGGCTTCAGACCTGGTCTCTTCCACTGCTGGATCATGAAGTCGGGAGAGAGTATTGGGCTTTTTATTACAAGACCCCTGGCGATCGGTGAAATTGAAGTTGAACCGGGTGAAGAGCAGAACCCAATCGTGCCTGTCGTGAGTTTAGTTGTTTGGCGGAACAAATATAAGCCAGGTTCTTGTGATCAGTAAGAATGATAAATGGTTCTTTGGCTCTTTCCAACCAATGACGCCATTCCTGGAGTGCCAATACTATGGCAACAGTTCACAGTTTCCCACATCACAATTAACTTTGGCGTGTGTTAGTTAGAAGAAGGTGCAGGGGTGGAGTTTCTGGTTGACCGGGGATTGCTGAGAAAGTACGGCCACCCCACTCCTGAATCCGAGGTGTCTTCCTCGACAACAAAAGGCTGATTGGGATTAGGGTGGATAAGCACAGGTGGATTGGTGAATAACCATTTTGGTTCTTTCAATGCCAACTCTGCATCATCCGTCTACCTAAACATAGTATGTACTACTTGAAGTCAGTCTTGATAAAGGAGTTGGCTTGTAGCCATCATTTATAATAAGGCGTTGATAAAAATTTGTGAAATCGAGAAATCTTTGCAGTTGCTTCCTAGTTGTGTGCATGGGCCACTCTACAACAGCCTTAGTCTTTTCTGGATCAGCTCTAAAACTGTCCCTTATCAATAATGAATCCTAAAAATGGAACGGATTCTGAGTGAAATTCACATTTTTCGGCTTTGACATACAGTGGGTTTTCGAGCAAACGTTGAACAAATTTGTACATGTAGGTGGTGCTCCTGAATGTCCTGAATGTTTGGTCGTTGGAAGCATGGCCAGTCACTCTACAGCAGTGTTTCTCAAATAGTGGGGCGCGCCCCCCCTCCCCCGTCAAGGGGGGGGCTCGTTTGACCTCGGGGAACATGCTTTTTTATTTTTTTACTGTCCTAAAATAACATGCAGTTGCACCTCCACTACGTTAGGGGGCAGTGGCGCTCTCATTGGCAGAGTTTACGCAGG